GCCATGTTTCGTCGTCGATTAGTCAACGCTTCGGGTTACGTCTATCACCTGCATAATCAGGGTTCTAATATTACTCGACCAGTGCGTGTTAGGGTTACACTTGCGATTTTTTTTCTTCAGACATTCACGAATGATTTCTGTGTTTTTAAGTTGTAAGAATTGTATATTCTTTGTAAAATGAGTAGATGTAATTGACACTGCGATATGTGATTAGTGATGCTATTTTAAGACTACATGTGGCATGACTATTTACTGGAAATTCCGATGTGCCTACAAGTGAATAGACGTTTTTCGAACGACGTGTCAGTCATGTTAATCACACCATAATATAGTAAATACTCTCACAGGAAGATTTCTACTTGTTTTTAGATATTAATATTATTCTACATTGTCGATTTGTCGGTCTGTAAATTAAAATCAAATTTTTTATTTAGTTTTGAGATGATCCAATTCGTAGATTTTAAAGTTATTCTACATTGTCGAGTGTCGATTTGAAGGTCTGGAAATAAAAAAAAAACAACTAATAACCGAAGATAACAGCGTATCTTTTTCGATCTGATCATCGACGGGAATGGAATGTACCTAATCGAATGATCGTTAAGTGTACCATTTACGATCTTTATTTTAACAAGTCTTCGTTCGTCCATTTTAATCCTTTTCTGAGATAATTGTTTTTGTTTTGTAAAATACTTTCATCTGCGATGATATTGTATGTTACTATTTTATCCTTAGACAAAATTCTAAGAATTCTAACTTTATGTAGTAAATAAAAATAAATGAAATATATTTTATTGAAGAAATACAAGCAAATAAAAATATTTATTGAAATATTGATTGCATGCAAAAGTTGACATTGGGTAGGAAATTGAGTGACAATGTTAGCAAACATCGATGATCAAATTACATCGACTAAAAACCATCGATGTTTTTCTACATCGATGCGTTTAGACTGGATTAGTAACATCTAACATTAAATTCTTGTGCATTAAAATTTAATGTGACAGTATTCGTATTTATCAACTCGCCGAATAAGGTACGAGGAGAAGGGGAAGACCCTAGGCCCACGGCGTATTTATTCCCCAAATCTCAATATGCGAAATGAACATGATGGCAGAGGAAATGCAAGGGCTTGGAGTCTATCATCTCAGGCTAGAGTCTGGTCGGTGAAGGTAGTGCATACGGCGTGCCTTTGGTTCCAACACATGAATAACCGTAGTACTATGAGTTATTATTTCAAATTTTAACTTTTACAGTATTGTGATCGTGGGAATTTTTCATTCTGAAACAAACTATGATAAAAGAAAAAACATCGATCACAAAACATTGATTTTAAAAAACATCGATGTTTAAAACATCGGTCACAAGTTAAAAACATCGATATTCAAAACATCGATGTTCAAAACATCGATGGTTAAAACATCGATGTTTAAAACATCGATGTTTTGAAAACATCGACATCGATGTCGCATCCCTACCGCCTAGGCCGGTGTGTCCACGCAGCACGCGGTCGCCTTCTCCGCCCCCGCCCCCGCTTGCCCGCTCGCCTCGCTTAGCTGTCGCCGGCGACGCCGCGCCGGATGTCTATATATACTCCGGGGCGCGCCGCACCGCGCCGCGCCGCTCCGTACCGCCCCTCACCGCGCTTGAAGCCGGCAGTCAACCGGGTATGAGGAGGAGGCGGCGGTGGCTGGCTTGCGTGGCGGCTCCACGCCTCTTCAGTTCAGTCGCACGCCGCCTGCCCGCCGCGTCGCATCACACGCCGCGGCACGCGCGCGGGACACGCCGCGCCACACCGGCGCGGGAATCGGTTCGCGAACGAGTCCGGGAGTCGGGTCGTGAACGGGTCCCGAAACCGGTTCGTGAACGGGGACTGAAATCGGTTCGTGAACGGTTACCGAAACCTGTTTGTGAACTGTTACTGAAACCGGTTTATGAACGAGCTCCGACACCGGTTCGTGAACGGATCCCGAATACGGTTCGTGAACGCGACTGGAAACGTATTCGCGAACGGTAACGTGTCCATTACTGACAGTTTCGTGAATTAGTTTGTGAATGCCTTCGGGAATCGCTTTGTCAACAAGTGTGGATGGTGGTTTTTGAATAGTTTGCCTTATAGCTCACGAACGTATCTGATAACCGACTTTCGAATCGCGTAATATGTTCACGAAAGGGTACGAACGAAGGATGCAAGTTGACGGCCACGCAATTCGAAAATGTGCGAACGAGCTCGCAAGTGTGATTCTGCGTCTGCAAGGACTTGTACGATTTTTCTGATTCGTCGATCCGCAGAGTCATTTGATCCACTTACTCTCTTCAACTCAAATGTTTTTTGATCGTTTTGTGGCAACTCTTTAATCAGACTATTTGCTGATACGTTTGACCTACATCTGGTTTGGGAACTATTCACCAATAATTAGTTATTTTCATCTCTCAATTAAAACCTGGATGCGAACGAAAACCTACTAATAGTTGATTCAAATCTCTACGGGTGGGCTAACTCTCCATTGAATGAAATTTCGTGTGCTCCGTTATTTTCACTGCACTGTAATCACGGAATAATGAGCCTGAATTGTTTGGTGCGGTATGTCAATCGAATAGCTACCAACAACGCAATTTCCAGTGCGCAAATGTTCTGATTCCACGAAGTAATTTTTCTTGCTGTATGATCCATGTTGTTCATCTGAAAGTTCTCGTTTTGCGATGATAGAACCGTGTGTTGCTACCAATGTGTTGCCACAATCTCTTTTGAAAAGAGCCTTCCGATGCGCGTGTGCAATTCGTTCACGTCTGTTTCGGACGTTTGTAGTGTGCTGACTAATGGATTTCATCTTTCCTCGGCGTTTCGGATTTGATGGATTACTATCATCAATCTACTGCCATCAGCGACCGAGCTTCATTCTTTGTAGCGGCATAGCATCCCACGCTTGTGTTTGAAGATTCGTGCATGTGTTTAATCAGCGAAGTGTGAAAGTGATCCAGTTGCCTCCAGTAAAGAGTGCGTACGAGTGAGTGTGTACGTAGTGTTGTCAAGCAAGTAAGTGTGAAGGTCTGGAGTGGCTTGGAGTTGTGCCTACGTGTATACTACAAGAAGTGAAGCATCAGTGTTGTGAATCTCTCGTGTTTTCGAAGTGCTTTATCAGTCCTAGGAATCTACATCGCTTCCTGGTATCTGCTGTGCTTGGAATCGTGCGGTCTGTAGCGCTCCCACTCGACTTTGTGCCCGTTCACATGTGCCGAATTCCCATCACCACGTGCCTCGCAATCGAGATCATAGTAAGTGGATGACGAGTTGTATCTAATGCAGGATATCGTTGCAGATTCCTTCAGAATAAAATGACAAAGATGTGATTTTCTGCTACCCATATTAAAATTAGGTCTGAATGACAGAACGTGCGGTATTAACTCTCCTAATTAATGTGAGTTTCCTAAGATATTGAATCCATTCCTGAGTCTAAGGATATTGTTTTATAAAAGCCCAAAGCAATTAATTCTCATTAGCGAGGGAGGTTTGATATGAGTGAGCATTGCTCTGTCACAAGTTTCCTTTTGCGTATTAGCCATTCTCGATGTGTTCCTCTCACAGAATTCTCGTACTTCGTAGCGTTTTACGAAAATATGCGCTTCGCCCAACAATGTTGTTAGAAGAAAATAATAGTTTTTCACATGTTAAAATAGACAAGCTATATAGCTGGTTTTCCTTTTTCCCCTCTTCAAAATTAAGTTCGAAACATCATTGGAGCCATCACCCCCCTACAGCCAAGCCAATACGTTTTCTATTTTTACTCAATTTATTAAAAAAATAATTGTCAAGTATAGATCACATCACATCTAACCAGTATAATCGTTATGAATTAACGCGTTCTATTTTGTTGGGCTAACAAATTAATTATAACTATTTGAAAAATCTTTAAGGGAATTTGAACTAAAATTGCCGCCTTCCCTGAAATACTTTTTGAATCCGCCACTGCCACGAGTGCAGTAATGCCCACATGATGCGTTCATATTTTTTCCGTTCACTGAAAATATAATTAATATTTTAAAATTATAACACTATTATTCGGAGAATTATGTTAATTGCGATAGGTGATTGCAGGAAACCCAGAAATACTCATGACGTTGCGCAATTGTCCTAATCGTTCCTGTTGTTGCCAAACATTGAGAGATGCGTCAGACATTCTATAAATTGCATATTTATGATCTTCTTTGACAGAAATTCCGAACATCTTGCTGCGTAAAGAAAGGAAATATATTTTATTTTTGAGATGAAATAAATTTTGCTTTCTTGAATGATAACTCTTTTTTTCATTTTCTCGTGATTTATTGACGTGTGTGTCTGTACTAGTACTGACCGGCATCCTAAAACACTAAACCTATTCAGTCTTAAGTCGTTGTGGTATTTGTCACAGTGAACAGATGTTTCACATTTTTCTAGGG